ACGTTTCGGCCATGGGTTTTGGCCCTTTTCAAGTAGAATATTTCGTTTGGAACGCCATCGGATCTCTAATCGTAATTGCAATGAATTAGTATTTGCGGAGTTTGAAAATTGTTTTAAACTTACAGTTAACCACGTAGTGTAATGATAAGCGTTTGACAGGGTCGCATGTCTTCTCGTTGCGAAAGCGAAACAATGACTGATCGTGGAGAGACTTGCGTACAGGTTTATAAATACGAGTCATGAAAATAAAATACAGAGACTAAACAGCGTTGATTATCTTGTCGTAAATCGGGTTGAGGTTATCGGTGTCTTTCTGTAAATTAATCGTATCGTCGAATTTTTTAATATAGAACATTTCAGCGATCTCTCTTTTTCTCCTATGTTTCTCACTGTGTAAGATTTTAGGAGATTGCCAATGAAAATCATGGCCATGATTCGTGCGATGTTTAGTTACCACAGAGTGATTATCTACGTCTTTTTTTATGTCGTTGAAATGTTCTTTTATACGAGTTGCCAAATGTCGTTTGGTTTGTCCTATGTAGCTCGCGTTACAGTTCTCACAAAGGATCCTATAAACTATATCGGTTCTTTTTTCGTCGGCTAATCTGTCTTTTCCTTTCGTTATGGTATTGTTAAGTTTCTTAGGGATAGTATAAACGGTATTGAGGCCGCACTTTTTTAGTTTGTGAGCGATGCTCTCACTTGAACCTTTGATGTATGGTAGTGTCATATATAATCTTGCGTCAAATTTCTTAATTTCTTTGTCTTTCGGTAGCTTGATTCCGTGTCTTATTTGGTTGAGCCGTTTTTTTACCTGGTTGTCTATTACTGTGTTGGAAAGCCATTGTTAGTGAGGATCTCCTTGACAAGTGTCATGTTGGAGCTGTGAAACTGTTCATCCGATAGCAAGATTGCATGGTCCACTAAGTTGATAATAGTATTAATCTTGTAATTTAAAGGATGGCTCGAGAAAAAGTTGATATAACGGCCGGAAAAAGTTGGTTTTCTGTACCAATTAGTCAATAATTTACCGTTCTGTCTGATAATTGAAGTGTCTAAAAAGTTGATGGATTTGTCATTTTCTATTTCATATGTAAATTTGAGTCGAGGGTGATAAGAGTTGAATATGGTGAGAACCAAGTCTATCTTGTCATCAGGTATGATAGTGAGAACATCGTCCACATATCTGTAATATGTAGGTAGATCGAAGCCTAACGATAGCAAACATTGTGATTCCAAATCGTCAAGCACAATGTCCGCTAGAATTGGTGACAAGGGGGATCCCATTGGACTGCCAAAAATCTGTTCATAAATAACTCCATTGAAACTGAAACTGGTGGAGTCTAGAACTGTCTCTATTGCGTGTAAAAATTGTGGTAGGGTGAAAAATGTCACTTCAGAGATTTTCTGCCATCGTTTCTCAATAGCCTTGAACACTAAATCTTTGGGGATATTGGTGAATAAGGCATTGACGTCCAATGAAATTAATAGTTCATTGTCCGAAATTGGTTTGTTTTTTATGGCTTCAACTAAGGCCCAGCTATCTTTAATATGAGAAGCTGGTTTCTGGATAGATTTTTGTAAAATCTCATGAAGGAAACTTGCGACATTGTAGATGGGGCTGCCTAGTGCAGAAACTATAATGCGCAATGGATGACCAGTTTTATGGATTTTTGGCAGGCCATAACATCGGGGGAGATTACCATTCGTAGATCTTAAGTTTTGATAAGTGCGGTCGTCTATAATGCCGTTGTCCAGCCATGATTTCACCAGTGTGTTGATCTTTGTACTCAGTTGTTTAATCGGATCTTTTTTTATACATTTGTACGTGGATTGATCACTGAGTAATGTGTTCATCTTGTTGGTGTAATCAAGTCTGTCCATGACTACAGTGACTTGACCTTTATCAGCCTTCGTGACGAATAAATCTTTATTGTCGTGTAAAAATTTTTTGCATTTCTTGTGTTCAATTAAAATGTGTCTGTCGATAGAACTGTGGTGTGGTTTATTCGAAATAAATTTGTGAAGAGATGTAGTCACAGCGTTTCTAATGGTATTTACTGCGTTGGTTGGAATCTTGTAAATATTGTTCTCGAAACTTTTGATGGTTTCCAAAACTGAACAGAATCTGTCTTTTTTATTGGATGGACATACGGGGATACCAAAATTTTCGCCAAGGCTGAGAAAGCTCAAAACCGAATCCGGAATTTGACGTTTGCTTAAATTAACGAGCCATCTAGATCTGTCTATATTGTTAAATGCGTCTAGCGAAGTGCGTTGTCTACATAAGATTAAATTGAATTTGTTTATTAGTCGTCTCTTGATTTGACTGTTGTGTCTACGTAGTTTATGTTTATTTAAGTGAAAAAACTTTAGGACAATATGTCTTGGTAAGTT